CAGTATAAGAGAGTGAATGACTCTTTGTTGCTTCATCAATTACTAATTGTGCTGTTTTGTTATCTCTCTAGAATGTTACTTTTACTCATGTTCCTGCAGTATCAGCTTGAACTTATTTTAGTTGTTTAACTTCAGGGATAAAAATAACAGAATGATCTGCAAAGGCTATTCCTTAGGATCATGCAGGAGGTCTCTCATAAAGGCCAATGCTCATTTTTCTGTCAGGAAAAGCATATAAAAGAGCCTTTTGTCATTTCTTGGTTATCTGCTTGAGGTCAAAAACATTTGATGAGTAAACAAAGTCCAAATTAAAAAAAAAAAAAAAAGAGGAGGTGTTTCAGAATTACCGTTTTTCAATTATTGTATCTTCATTCAACAGTTACACCTTTTAGAAGGTCCATAGAGGCCTGTGTTTGAGGATGGAAATACCATGCAAGAAATGAGAAGAGGGAAAAGAAGAAATTATAGCAGGCCCAAATAATATGATTAGGGGTTTGGTTGGCTTTTTTCCCCCACTGAAGTGGTTCACTGCTGTTGTATTTGTGCATCTCATGTCTGTTGCTGCTCTTGTGTTGTTACTCACTGCAATGTTTTATTCTGTTCTAAATTTTGTTTGGCATTACATTTTGCTTTTATTGCTCTGCCAGCAAAGACACATCTCCTCATTCCAAATCAGTATTTGACGGCTTAATTATTAACAAATTCTTATTGCCAAGTCAGTATTTTTCAGTAAACAATAAATTATCTGAGGATGGCATGTCTCATCCCTTGAAGTCAAGACCAGGTTGATGCTTTGAGCAACCTGATCTAGTAAAGGTGTTCCTGCCCATGGCAGAGGAGTTGGAACTAGTTCATCTTTAAAGGTCCTTTAAAGGTCTTTTCCAACCCAAACCATTATGTGATTCTGTGGTCAGAATTCCTGACTTCTCAAACTGACAGCTATCCACAAAAATAATGATGAGCAGTAGGTAAAGCTTGGTGTCACACAGAACTAAACTAGCATATTTGGCTTCCTGGAACCCACAATACTTAATACACATAGATTTATGCTTTCTGCTGGAATGTGTTTGTTCAGCCAACAAGCAAAGCTTTACCACAAAAAACTTTTACTGAAATGAAATCTACTCTCTTTGTCTCAACTGTGTTAATTCATACTGTACAAAGGTAGAAAGTACAAGTATTCAGACATTGCTATCAGGACCTGAAAGAGGGTAGACTAGTAATTATTTGAAGTGACAAAATTGTCTTAATAATTGTAAAATTGAAACTACTGTAGTCTTTTCTTCATTTTGCAAGTTAAAATCAAGGTTGTTTGTCTTTTACTAACTAGGTAAATACCATTCATAGTTTTACATTTTTACATTTGTGATAACATTAATTAGTAGCATATTGAACTGAACTCATCTCAAATTCAGCTCTTTTTTGTTTCTATAAATTTTACATAAAATTTAACTATTCCCCTTTGTTGTCAGGCAAATGACATGTGAAATATCCATTTTGCAAGTCCATGTGGGACAGATTATTTCATCTGTACATTAACAGTTAAGTTTGTGCAACTTACTCTTAATGTAGAGATAAGTATGGACAAGTAGTAGATAAGTATCAGTAGGCCCAGAGATGAACTGGACAACAGTAATTTAAATTATGGTTAAGTATTTTAATGAAAAATAAATGTGCATTATAAAGAATCAGAGTTATTTTGGAATTCAGTTCTTGAGATTAACTGAAGCAATAGACTTAAAAATAACATTACAAAGGCTTAAATTAGTCAAGATCATAATGAGTCCCAAAAGTATTTTTCCTCACTTTAAGGATTTTGAAATTAGTATCTAACTGACATGGATTATAGGAGAAACTTATTATGTTTATCCGTGGGACCCTACTCTATTAAAACTTATGGTAACTGCAGGACTCAAGGAAATAAAAAAGGAATACTTTTGATACTGATGATACTGATGATTCTTAATAGTAATTTCAGTTCTAGCAGACCAGCAGGTACTGCCTTTCAAAAGATACCAGGGAAAACATAATGGTTCAGATGGAGATAAAATGGAATGATCATCTTTACTCCAGTGTTATAATGATCTTATAATAACATTTTATAGCATCCCAAATATCAACTATTCTTTAGATTCATTAATCAACAGGTCATGGTATCCTAATAGAACATATCTTAAACATTCCAATCACTTCATGAAGGTTAATTTAACAGTAGCTGGTATCTATGAAGCTTGATCACTAATTCGTGAATGAGTTTGGTTTTTCCAGTCCTTTCTTGGTCCTTGACAGAGGTGAATATTTGACTATAGGTCTGATCCTTCCTCCAAATCAAAACCATCTGCCTAAAGAAAAGAAAGCAAGGGAAGAAGGTAGAAAGGGAAACACATAATGCATTTGGGGTTTTTTTCCAACCCCAGGTGGTGTCAATCTAAGAAAAAGCCACAAAATAGACCATAAGTTACAAACATGCCCTTGCTATCATTACTCTTAGTTTTTTACCAAGCCTGCACTTTATCTGTTTTCTGTATATAGAGTTGCTGATCAGCAACATTTGCAAGTTTCCCATAAATAAAAGGGTTATAAAAAATGTGATATGACTTCTCTGTGTGTGGTGGAGAAAAACACCATCCCACATGGTCTCTGAATGGTGACACAAGGTCTATGGAAGAAATTTTTCTTGATTGTTTGCAGCCCACTTGTCAGAGAGTATGTGATTTGGAATATCTCCATGTTTCAAGTTATTCTTGCAGTTGTTTACATCTGGAGAACTAAAGTAACTGGTTACTTGGCAACCTATCAGCAGAAGAGAACTAAAAAAAAAAAAATAAATAGAAAAAAAAATTATTGTATCTTATATTTCACCAGTTTCATTTTTTTGAAAGAGTGCCTTTTGACTAGTTTAACATGGGGAAAAAAATTGGTGAATCCCAAATTAGTACTTGGCCTGTAGGAAGGCTGTAGACTGCAATGACATCTCTCCTCAGTCTCCTCCTCTCCAGGCTGAACAGACCAAGTGACCTCAGCCACTCCTCTTACGGCTTCCCCTCCAGACCCTTCACCATCTTTGTAGACCTTTTTTGGATGCTCTTTAATATCTTTATATCTTTCCTATATTATGGTGACCAAAACTGCACACGATATTCTGCCTTATTTGAGAAAATTAAAATCTTTAATCTCTCAGTCTCTCTTTATACTTCTTTCCTGTTTACCATATAGTCAGGTAGACTCTGGTTAATGAAAATGTGGTAATGTAAAATGTAACAAAAGAAATATATTGCATTATTTTGCTACTCTGATGTAATTTACACGTTTCTCTCTAATTTTATCACTACTGTATTGTCATACATATTTTTTTGCTGCTGTGTATAATTCTTGCAAATATGAATTTCTCTGTTAGCGCAGTTTATGTGGCACAATTAGTGAATAAAACCAAAGAGATAATTACACACAGGAATGTCCAATTGTGGTTGAGATTTTTACTCTATTTTAATGTGATGTAATATGTAGGGAAGCGACTCTTAGGACTCCTTAGGTATTTCAGGCTGTGTGTTTGTGATGGTTTCCATAGTTTTTCAAGGTCTCTTTGTGAATGACAGTCAAACCTCAAACAAAGTTTTTATGAGGGCACCAATTATGGCATAGAGAATGGGATTTCAACAGTGAACAGCTTCAGCATATGACATGTATCCAGTCATATCAGCTGACTTTGTACTTGCTCTTTGGAGTTACAGTGCTATTGCCAATGATAGATGCTCAGTGGCTCGAACCAGTTACCTTAATATAGGTGTTTGATGCTAATTGAAAGGCCTTACTGAGTGTCTGAGACCTAAGCTTTATAGATATGACATGACATCCATGGACCCTAGGGCAGCAGCTGGAAGCTATGTGGGACTGCATGTGTGTCTCAAATATCACTAGAAGCTTCTGCTTAGGCAAATATATAGAGTTTTTATGGTAGTCCTGTAGCACCTCCAACTTGTTTTCCTTCGTACCTTTGGCAGTAAAAGACCTCTGAATTTAGCAGTAGAAGTTTTTTTCAGCAGCTGTCCTAAAGCACTGATGAACATTGAAAAAATTGTTTCAATGTATGTTTCTCATACTTCCTTTTAAGTTAGAGGTGCAGAGAAGAAAAAAAAATTAAACAAACAGGTTTGACTGCTGATAACTTCTAAACAAGGTGAAAATAATTAAGACATTGTTAGAGACCCAAATAAGAATATAATGCAACCTCTGGAGCAAGTCCAGAGGAGGGCCACAAAGTTAATAAGGGGATTGGAGCACCTCCCCTGCAAAGACAGGCTGAGAAAGTTGGAGGTGTTCAGCTTGGATAAGAGAAGGTTGTGTGGAGACTTCATAGCAACCTTCCAATATCTGAAGGGGACCTACAGGGAAGCTGGAGAGGGACTCTTTGACAGGAGCTGTAGTGAGAGAGAGGACAAGGAGTAATGGGTAAAAACTGAGAGAGGGGAAATTTAGGGATGTTAGGAAGAAATTCTTTACTGTGAGAGTGGTGAGATACTGGAACAGGTTGCCCAGGGAGGTTGTGGATGTATCAGTCTTGGCAGGGTTCAAGGCCAGATTAGACAAGGCCTTAAGCAACCTGGTCTAGTGGGAGGCATCCCTGCCCATGACAGGGAGGTCAGGACCAGATGGTCTTTAAGGCCACTTCCAACCCTTAACATTCTATGATTTTCGAAAAGAGAAAATTGAAAAACTTTTTTCCTTAAGCTCTCTACAACCTTATTTAACCTGTTGCTAAATGTGCTTGACAAGAATTAAATGTATTATTTTTACATAGGATACCTAATTTTCTGACTACAGGGACTCTGTTTTAGTTTTTTTCAGCATTTCAGGAAATTCTGTAAGAATAAGTAATGTTAATTGTCATAAGAGTCTACTGACTTATTTGTTATAATCTTATTCATGTCTAAGCAGTTGTTTGTGAATTTTAAAGAAAGCTGTGATTTTTTACTCAGAACTCTGCATCTTGTTTCTTTTAGATTGAGGAGGATACGTGGCAGAAATACTACCTGGAAGGAGTTGCAAATGAAATGTATACAGAATATCTGTCTAGTGCCTTTGTGGGTTTGTCCTTCCCTGCAGTTTGTGAGTAAGTAGAGATACATATTAATATACAGAAGTATTTGCCTTCTCTCAAGAGAAGTCTGTTTTTTGCAGGAGACCTTTTCACTTTGCTGAAGTCCTAATGTTGCTACTTCATATGGTATCTAATAAACACTAAAGCAATCAGTGCATGGAAGTATCTGAAACATTGTAATGCCTGTTTTCAGAATAGACTTGGAATTAAATGATTGTAAATGAAAGCATGAATGTTTTCAGTGTTGAAAAAATTCATCAGCAATCCATTTAAATATAGTTATTTATTCACAAGTGCTGTTCTATTGTTTCTTCTAATGATTCCCATTCTTTGAATAGTGGTTATCAGCATCACCATCTTGGCTAATGTACCATTCCGAGGAAACTATTCATTAATTTAAACATATCATTAAGTCATATAACCAGTGTGACACCCAGAGCTCTGTGGAACTGGTTTCAAACGACTTGTAATAAGTGAAATATGTCCGAAAAGATGTGTCTGTTCTGTTATGAGAAAGGACTATTTGAAGCACATAGTACATAACCATAGCATAAGCCATTCTACAGCTTTATTTCTAGAGACTCAGAATGCTTATATTTGTCCTAGAATGGGTCTATGAATGAGATTTGTATGCAAAAGGTTTCTATGACAAATTCTGTGGCCACGTAATCAGGTCGGTTTAGCACACTCGTATTTCCTCTTCAGTTGGCATTGCCCTTCACTCCAACCATGCCAAAAGGTCACCACAAAGGCTGTGGACAGCTTTTGCTAGGGACTGTTCAAATGCTTGATAAGAAACAGACCCTACTCTGAAGAGTTTGATGCTGAACTAGTTAATGCAGAAAAAGTTCTGAAAACTCCATTCTTAGAGAAGGAAGTAGAATAAGAAGTAAAATATCATCTCTTATGTAAGGAGATGGATGATTTTGTTTCTACTCCTCTAACTTCTCCCTCCTTTTCCAATTTTTACAGGGAGCATAAACATAGGTTATGGCATAAAAATGAGGGAGAAACAACTGTTAGACAAATATCCATTTAAAGATCTGTCTTTGTCTGAGATGTAGCTATGACAGAGCCCAGTCTTCAGTTTGCTACTAAAATTAGGGGCTTACAATCCATCCTTCCACTGTGTTAACCAAACTGTCACTAGGTTACTGAGGTGAAAAGTGTATTACTAAACTACAAAAGTCTGCCTGGATATGTTGAAATAGAAAACCTCATAACATATTACAGAAATGTGTATTATATTCAGAATGAATGGTAATTTGTGCTGTTTACACTACCTAGAGTCATTCAAATTAACTCTCCACTGCAAACCATTTTCAAACCTGTCAAGTTTCTATATGAGTTTGTAGAAACATGTGACTGAGACTGTATTTGATATAAAGCTGTCATTCATTTAACTGTGCTGGTAGAATGGAGATAAAATAATCAATAAAGGGTGTTTATTGAGATTTGGAAACACATCTAAATTTTGGAGGTCTTCTCAGGCATTTGGTTATCTGAAACAGCAAATTGTGTTTATTAGTTTAAATTAAACAAAAAGATTTATCTCAAATTTTTCACCACTTTATAACTCTATTAATTTCAAGTTAATTAAAGCACATTAAAAATTAAAAATTAGTATTGCTTATTAATGAGTTTGGTGCTTATTAATGAGTGTAAGTATTTTCATTACTGAAAGAATTGACTATTCAATTTCCAAAAGAACTAAAGAACAGGAAAAGTCCTTTGCATTGATTTGTGAAGGGGAAATTAAGTCATTGGATAGGCTTAGTGTGTTCAACCATCTATGAAATATATAGACTTTGAGAACAGTTTTTGTAGTGCAGCTTTTAAAATTCCTGCAGTCAGTGACATTTTAAAAGTCTGAAACTAAACGAGATGTTCTGCTTTCTTAGGTTATGGGTCTTAATTGCTAGTCTAGGAATGTGATTCTTTGGTAAATAGGCTGAAACATGAAGAGAGTGCAGAGACAGTGGGGATGGGACACTCAATATTGGTGAAGAATTTCAAGCTTTTGGTGTCAACATATGGTGAAGAATTAGATGGCAATAAAAGTTAGTATCAGTCTGCAAGTTCTATTTTTAACTATGTGTGTGTGTACTATTCCAACCAATAAATTTTCAGTATGTGAATGTAATTCCTAACATTCTGTGCCCTTGGATATTGCTGGTCCAGGTGTGGATGATGCTGATTGAAGATAAACTAACCAAATTGTCTCCCCCTACCCTGGTTCTAGGCTCACTATTTTCTACCCAAAAATTTTCCTAATGAGACTAGCCATCTATGGATTGACACTTGACCTAGCAGTGGAAACAGCATATGAAATGTGTGCACTCCTCTTAATATATAATAAATTAGACATATTTCCTGATTGTTTTTCAAGAAATTGAATATTATCAGTTCAGTAGCCAATTCCTTGTTTCAAGAACAAGTATGTGATTGATACAAAGTATCAATAATATTGCTTAATTTGCGTAAAGAAGATAAATATTATTGACATATATGCAAAATATTAAGAACACTGAAGTAAGGAAGTTGGTAGAAAAGCAGGGAGCGCTGGAGAAATTAGTGTATGATCAAGAAAATGGCAACCATCTAATTGAAAGATCAGCCCAAGAATCATTCCTGACAAATCTGTACAACAGGAAGCAAATAGCATTGACTTTGCATACATTTCAATGGTAGAATTGAAAAATGGTTTCTAGTTATTAAAAAACCCAAAAACTCACTCTCTTTATTTTCACAGAGCCCCTTAGCTTGAAGTTAATGGTGGTACACTAACTCACAATTCTGCAAGTCTGTGAATATCACCCTTAAGTTGTTTTAATAAATAGCCACTTCAGCAGACTTTTATGACTGAAAAAAATGTGTATTACAGTATCAGAATGTAATTCCCATATATTGATCACAAATTCCTTCCGGTCATGCTGTTCCCCAAGGACAATAGTTGGAAAATAGTGACTTATTAATAGTGTACTCTCACTTTATTTCAGTATATACATATTTTTCTAAGGAATGCACACTACAGTCAACAAATATTTGAAAAATTGCCTCAAAACATCCGCAACTATAGCCAGATGCAATTTTGTGTTGTGTATCATGACCTTTGTTATTATTGCTTAAGTAGACTTCGTATCACAATGAGTTGGTGCTTATGCTATTGTTATCAACTTCTCAGTTTATATTTTTAGGATCGTATGGGTTAATTATCTTCAAAATAGAAAGATCTTAACATATATTCTGTGTATCCCTAATGGAAAAATTGGGGAAAGATCTTAGCGTAAGTTCTCAAAGAAAATACATTCCCCCCGGCCTTCTCTACATATGTGATGCTGGTTGTGAAAAAAGACTGACTCTTGGCCTCTTCTTTTCCTGCAGACTGGTGTTTGCGAAACTAAAGCTCTTAATGATAGCCATAGAATACAAGTCGGAAAAACGCGAAAGCAGGTATGTCCAATACCTCCAACTCTTGAAGTTCTAGAATGCACCGCCAAGAATTTTGCTTGCCTTTTCTTTTTTTTTTTTTCCGAATGAACATAGCTATTCTTTGAAACATTTCAGAATATAATTAGCATGCCATCACATTACAGCATTTCACATAGCACTGAAAGGCGCTTATTTCTGCCTTATTCCTCCCTGAAATAAATCCAAGTCAGAACATTTAGTAGAAGGTGGAGAGACAGTAATACATATGTCCCATCTCTAGAAGCGCAGTTAATTTTTACTTAGGGAAAAGCTAACAATTTTTTGTTCCTGATGTATCTCTTCTAACCAGAGGTCCAACTTACTTTACTGAAAATGGAAAAGTGGAAAACAGATGTCATATCAAAATTCATTATGGTTATGTGTATTCTCAAAATACAAATTTAGCCTTGAAATTACCAACTGGCTGGCTACTTTCCTCAACCAGAAAGAAAAAAATTCATTGTTATTAGTACAGCGTTTCTTGCTTTTTTTTCATACAAAAGTTCATAAAAATCTGATTGACATTGGAATCAAACTTCCATCAACTAGTCTGTCAGTGCTGTAAACAATACTCATTTTTGCATAACAAAAATGTTATAAATGTTGTCTGCAACATGTAGAGGAACATTTAATAAAAATATTACAGTACTGACTCTGGATGAAATTGATTTTCCTCTTTCAAAAGTTATATTCCGTGCTGCTGCAGTAAACCTGGAATGATATGTGTTAATTCATCTTATTATTGGCCTTTAATTACTTTTTAGTGGCCAAAAGACACTTTTGAGGGCAATTGTTTCTCCTCACAGGAGAGGTGATTCTGTCATTTGAACTCATGCCACAATTTCTGAGGTTTTGCAAGTTTATTGTAGTGTTTATTCCTAAATGTCATAATTTTTCTTTACTAAAAATATGTTTAAAACCTATGTTGGGCATTTGACATGGAAAATGCAATGTTACAACTGTTTAAAAGAGTATTTCCGTGCCTGATAGTTGATTTTGCTTGATTCTTTCCTATGTTACAAAGTGAAATGTGAAGTGGGGTATGTGCTATTGGATATTATTTTTGTTCAGACTATGCTTTTTTGTTCACACTATACTGATTAAGAAATCCTTTTTTTTTTAAAAAATATATTTTTTAAAATGTTTTCAACTCCTATGGACTCTTAAAATACTTTTCCATTGAATGATCTCATTCTACATTAGATAATGTAAAGCCAATGATCTCTTCTTTTGTCTCTAGAAAAAGAAAAATGGAATTATTTATCAGATTTTGTTTATCCAGTATTTAAAAAAAAAAATTGTTTCTGTTTTTTCTCCTAAGAATTATTACCCAAATTTAGGTTGTCATTGCTTCAGTTGTCATTTACTTACATAAGTGCTAATATTACAGTCTCTTTCAGTAATAACAGATAGTTCTTGGCTTCTGTATCATTCTTTGCACTAACTTCAGTGGGAGTTGGATTGAGTTCTAAATCACAAGGTGATGCAGAGGATCCCACAAAAAGTAACACAATGTGATACAAACATATATTCCTTCTTACTTAAAGCCACACAGGTAACAGTTTGCAATTAATTAATTTAGTAGGGAAAAAAGAGCCTAAAATTGCAGGAAACAATAGTAACAGAGGGATATTAACAACTTGATTTTGTGAATATGTATGTAACAAAAAGAGGACGTATAAGATAGATATTCACATTTTCTTATAACCCTGATCCACAGCAATATCTGCTGATTTTATTAACCATTGATAATTATATAGTCACTGTTTGGTGAATCACAGAGCTACCTGTAACATATCTTTACTGTTCTACTTGTTCCTGTGCTCTTCAACCCAAATATGTTAACTACATATTTGTGGTTTTCTGATCTAGAGCCTTTTAATCTAACCGAAAAGGTAATGGAACAAAACTTAAGTTTCTCACTTCGTAGGTATACTTGTATTTCCTTGCACTCTTATTAAATGAAAAGATGGGGAATTAAGATAAAAAGTTAGAATAACATGTTTTAGAAGTGCAAGCTTTTTTGAACAAGATAAATTTGTCATTTTCCAATTATATTTGTTGATGTTGACATTGAAAATATTTTATTCTGCTCATATCTAAAGTTCTTCATAAAGATGAAACGGCCACTGATTATGGGTATCCTTTTAAACTTTCAGTCTTTATGAGAGTGACCAGCAGTAGATATGTGCTGATTTTATGACTGTAGTTTGCATCCATATTTAGTAAAACTACTGAGAGGTGTTTTTATATAGTTTACAATTCAGAGGAACAATGTTAAATATAACTAAAGGTTTAGAATGCCACCTAGGTGGCACCCTTTTATTAAGAGGTAATATTTCCTGCCATAATGGAGACAGGTCTAGGAAGAGTATTTTCAGGAGCAGAGGAAATTTTCAAAGCATTCTCTGTGCTTAAAGGATGAGAAGCTCTTACTCCCAAGAGTCAATTTTTGTTATTAGCCAAAATAAAATATCTATAGCAGTAAATTATCTATCTGATTTTTTTACTTAACACAGAGAAGTTCCTTTTAAGATTAGTTTCATCTGCCATCATCACTTTGCACTCAGAGCTAAAGCAGTGTAAAGTGGATTCAGAAGTGGTAATGGGAGGTCATTCTAAATTTCTTAATACTCTGTAAATTTTCAACTCAGTGTTAAGGATAAATAGTCCCATCCCATTCAATGCAGACTTGTATTTGATTTTGTTGATACCCTTATTACATGTAGAATGGTATAAATACTAATTTACCTAAGCACTTTTTTTTTTCCCAGGCAGTCACTTAAATGTCAGTTTTCTAAAGCTTTCTGGTTTACAGTCAAATTCTGTTAATTCCACCATAGGGAATTTGAGATCAATAGAAATAATAAATTATCAGAACTCTATCCAAGCTAATATTGCTGTACAAGTTAGCAGTAGCTGAGCTTCCTGCTTGCAGATGGGCTTTTTCTTCTTGTTTTCCTGGTTACTAATAAAGCTACCCAAAACAGTAAGCACACCTTGATAGCATGTTTTGTTAAGATTAGGTAGTTAATTATAAACAATTTATGATTTTACAGGGTTGCTTAAAAGCAGATATTCAAGCCTAATTATAGGTAATATAGTCATAGATCTGATAAGTGTAAATCAGTTGTCATATAATCGGTAAAGTATTTACAGTCTTTTTAGGCAACTGTTCCTCATCAACATATCTTAAAGATTAGTAAAAATAGCTAGGATTAGATTTTTTTTAACCTTTCCTTTTATATATTTAATAATGTTTAACCTACTCCTCAGGTATCAAAGAAGCCTGAGTATACAAAACTCAATTTAGAGGGTTTCTGACAAGTTACTAAGGTCTGCACTTTAGAAGTTCCAGGTCACAATATGACTTAGCCATTCCTTCATCTCTAATTAGTATCTGGGAATGCTATAATGCATTATTAAGAAGAAGAAGCACTTAAATAAATTTTTGTGCCCCTGATAAAAGCCAAATATTTTAGCTTAAAATTTGTCTTTCTTAATTCATTTAGGTTTTGGTTATTTTACAGAAAAATGCAAAGGGAACATGGAGAGCATGAACCTGAAAATGTCCCTAAGTTGAATATATAGCAAAAAATAAGAATTCAAAATGCAGATATTCAAACTCCTTATCTGAAATCCCTTTTAGAGACATTTCTGCCTTCCTTTTTCCCCTGTATTTTTTTCCACATGAGTAAGCAAGAAGGAAAGCCTAACATGGATTCTTCCCTCCTGCAACCCATTTTACTCCTCTTGTAAAATTTTCTCTTGTCTTTCCATATATTTGTTCTCATTCTCAGCAGAAAAACCTTTAAGCCTTGAAGACTTTTAAATAAAGGGTTTTTTTGCTTTTGCTTTGGTGTCAGTTGATTTCTTATCAAAGTGTTTGATTTGCAATTTTTTTCTTGTCGTTTGCAGAAGCCGAAAGCGGTATGCCCTCTTCGTTACCTTTCCTTCCAACCTCAATCCTACCTTCACTCCTTCTAACTTCAGGACTAATTCCTTGCCAAGAACACAGGAAGATAACATCTTTGTCTATCTTTCTCTGTATATGCACACACATATATACATACATATATTCATCTGTCTATGTGTGTGTATATATATATCTGTGTGTATAATTATATATGAGCCCCCAGTCTCAAAGAGGAGAGAGAATAGCATTTTGTCTCTCCGTTGTTTCTTGTGACTCAAGCACTAACTTCTTTGCAGGAAGTATAAAATTAAACAGCATAAGTTTTTTAGGCCTTTTTTTTCCCCCTTTTGGAATCACTGGTGTATCAGAGTGTTGCATTTGAAAAGCAGACTTTACTGTTAACATCTGTCCTCTTTTTTCATTTGTACTGTACCATGACGATGTATATTTCGTCTTTACCAGCCCTTGTGCTACCATATTGTCTTCATATTCACACCTTCATTGATGTCCTTCTTTCCCCAGAGTCTTCCTTCAAAACATGTCTTACAATACAGTAGTTCGTGTTCTCTTGCAGTCTCATCTTCCATTAACAACAACCAAATAACTGATTCTTTGCATTGCTGGTCCTGTTTTGAGTCCAGTTATTCATAATATAGTACTCATTAAAGCTGTTGTACTGCTCCAGTGAAATTCCCATGGATAGTTTGTATTATATGTCACATTCATTTTAATGACATTAATTGAACTCATTTACGAAGATGTTACTGTATGTATTTTGTTTCTCAGCTTTGGGTTGTTGTTTTTTTGTTTTTTTTTTTGAGGTGGCATGTTTTGCATTTTCTTTTGGTATACCACGCTCTGAGCCCCTCTCTAGTCTACATTCTATCATACTGCTACTGGTTTGGATGAAGTAAATAGGGCATACTCTTCCTTGTCTCTCCTCATCTCTCTTCCCTCTCACAGCTTTTTTCTGTAATTGCTTATAGCATTCTGTCTGTCAGTGGTGGTCTTTGGAGACCTGTTCTCATTGTCCGGACACTTCAGTTTCCTTCTTCATCGTTCTCTC